TGGTGCATGCTCAAAGTTAAAGTCGCACCAAAAAAAATGCGGAAGAGAGTTCTTATTAATGCGGAGCTTTGGTGAGAATGACATCTGATTATTGTAGCCATAAGTTATTAGTAGTAATACAACTCTTGATTGGAAGAGATGAAAGCTAGCATGCTACTTTCTTCGGTTGCAGTCTAGGGTGGGGATCGGTACAAAATAATGAGTTGGAGTATTTCAGTTACTGTCACGATTTTTAACTACCAATTCAAATAAAAAAAATTTCAAAACAAGTTGGAGGATTGTCGTCTTTTTGTACCTATTTTCTGTTCAATGTTGTCTTTGTGGTCAATAGAGTAAGCCACTTTATTACTCTACATCAAGCTTTCTGTTATTTTTTATTCTACAGTTCAAATGAATCCTATAATTTTTTGGAGAAAACTTTATTAGGTGGTACCAAGCGTGGGTATTGTGTTCAAGAAGTATCATATTCATCAAGAATTTCTGATTTGTCGTGTTTCTGTGTAACTATTTTGTTGCCTATTTTATCAACGTACCAACGGTCACACCTACAACTTATTCATATGGGCTTTTGTTACATACTTCTTTTTCTTAATTGGTGACAGTGCAGTTGATGTCTTTCAGCATTGATCTTCTAAACTATTTGTTTATGAAGATGATGATGCAGGAACGATTCGTGTGCAACAATCTAGAAAAGCAGAGGGGGAGAAACTGAAATATTGGGCGGAAAATGCATGGGGAAACCGATGGATGACACTGGCAGATGCACAGGAGTTAATCCTCTCCCAAGGTGCCAGTCATAGATGCTTGAATCTACAATTCCGTGTAGTTTCCTGTAAGTTTTTCAAGGTTCCTGTAATTAAATGAAACTAAAGGTTCCTGTAATGAAACTAAAGCCATAGAACTTTTCTGTGACTTTCTTCTTTAGAATCTTATGCTTTCTTCATTGGAAGCTATGTTATTTGGACTGTCTTGGCTGGAGCAAAGTATTTTATTGGCCATATTCAGAAAAAGAGAACTAGAGTTTTGCTTGGCCAGATATGGAAATGGTGTGGCATCATTCTCAAGAGTTCTGCACTGTTGTCAATATGGGTAAGAATGAGCAATCTCGATTATATTTGAATAAGATTGCACTTGTTTTTAAAGTTAACTCGCATTAACTTTGTGCTGCAGATTTTCGTCATTCTTGTGTTATTCGAACTGCTATTTGAACTTCTGGTAATTGTGCCTATGCGGGTTCCTGTGGATGAAAGTCCAGTTTTTCTTTTGTATCAGGATTGGGCTCTAGGACTAATCTTTCTAAAGACTAGACAAGAGTGGTTAGTTTTCTCTCTATTTGTGTGTTTCGTTAGGTTAGGTGGGTTGGGGGGGTTCAGTAACTGTTTGACTTCATGGGTGGGTTCCTTTTGTCATTGTTTTTATGATAGCTTTAGAATGATCCATTGATGTAGTAATGAATATTCACATCACATGGCAATAGATGCACTGACATCAATGCATCAACTTGTTGATATAATGAAGATTTTAATTTTTGTTTGTACAGGTTATGTTGGGCAACATGATGCCACTGGTGGCAAAAGGTCTCCTGGTGAGTAAATATAGATTTTTCTATGAATATAAGGCATGGTAATTTGATTTTAGGTTGTACATACATATATTTTTTTTTTTTGAGAATGTCTTGCATCTTTTTGTATAGCTGATTTCATGCTTCGACATTTCGTGAAGCTGCATTATTACATGGCTTGCCTAACGGTAATACTGATTGTGAAATGTGTTTGCAAGAGGTTTCACAATATCAAATGCCATCAACATTGCGTCAATTGTTTGCTACAATTTTAACATTGTGCGATCCGCATGATCCCCAAAAATTATGGAATCATTTTAAGCAATATATGATAGAAGATTACGTAGACAATGGTTTAGATACAAAAGTAGCCGAATTAAAGGTGTTAAGTGATTTGAATGAAATATTACAACTTTCGGGTAGAAATTTGAATGCTTATGAAATTGTTCAACATCATATTTCCTTTGAAGAAAACAACCTTCTTGCGAAAACAATTACAAACGAATTAGAGATAATAGTTTCAGATGAAGATATGTTAAGTGAATCAAAATTAAATTTAGAACAAAAAAAGCATACTATATAATTCTAAATGATGTCTTCAAGAAAATCAATGGAATATACTTTATTGATGGTCCTGGAGGAACATGTCAAGTTTGTCTTAGTGTCAGGAAGAATAGATTGATGAATGCTTCTCCAATTACAAAAATATGCGTTGCACGATAACCGTTACAGTTTGGAAAAAATGTGCTCTGGTTTGTGGGTTATTCACAGTTCTATTGTCCCGAGTGTCTTTACCCTGAAAGATAATAGGAACTATGAAAAAATAGGTAAGTTCCACTTGATGCCATTCTATGTAATTTGTGAACGTTGGTTGTATTGAATAAGTTTTAGGTCTAAGATGCATGATAAATGACACTTATATCATATAATGGTGCAAGGATTACTGTTATGCCATGATAAATAGTCCTTTTCATAATTTTACTTTTTTGTTATTTATTTATTTATTTCTTTTTTATATTATCTTCAGTATGGATATGGTGCATCTGTATTGTTTGTAATAGACATTTCACACTAAACCAATGTAAAATTCTGTCGTGATAGCATGGCGTGACGGAGAACGAGATAGCCGAAACAAGCACATCTGGTTGTGGTGGGGAAATTTCTCTATGCCTTGTATGCACATTCCCACACAAACACAACACTTAGACACATGCCTTTTTTTTTTTTTTTACCATGTTCATATTCTGATGCTGTCCAAATTTCTCCAATCTGGATTTAGGTTCTCTGATTCTTGAAATGGGGGCATTGTCACGATTAACCAGTGATCCAAGATTTGAAAATGCTGCTTTACGTGCTCTTCGTAAGTTATGGAACTTGAGGAGTTCATTGAATCTTTTGGGAACTACACTGCATGTCGAAACTGGGGAATGGATAGAGCATTCATCTGGAAT